AATTCCCCAGCCAGCCATGCTGGCTGGGGAATTCTGGGAGCTGAAGTCCACGCATCTTCAAGTCCCTGAGGTTGAGAAACACTGCTCCAGAGTGTTTTATATCATCTGCAGATCTGAAACGCATCCATCTCATTCTCCACATCATTGGATACTTTTCTCCAGTCGATGGACCAGTCCCTGATGAGCCCCCTCTGAGTACAATGCTTGAACGGGCCACAATACCCACTTACCTGCATTTCTCTCTCCCTTTTCCCTGCACGGTTTTGCATCCCTTGCACAGGTAAAAGCAAGCAAGGATTGCCGCCCTGTCTGGGTCTCCACGGGGCTGCGCCTGCTCAGGATGACCGCCAAGGATTTCCTTGCGCGGAAGTAGAGGAAAGCAAGACGGAGATCTTGCTGCGGGGTTAGAGCAGACCTCGCCCGCTGCCCAGCGCCGTTGAACCCGCTGCATTCCGCAGCAGACTGGCAGGCAGGACCGTTACTTCGCTCGGCACGGCCGGGAGGAAGCCTTTGTGGTCGGAAGACCGGCGGACGGGGACGCGGAGCGGGCAGTCCCCCGGCCAGCCCGGCGCCTCTTACGGCCCCCACCCGGCTGGAGACCAGACCTAGTGAGAGGCTCCCGTGTTTTAGGCAAGTTTGCTTTCTGCCCCATGGCGGCCTGGAACCGTTTAACGGAGCAGTTGCGCTGACCTCGCTATATATAACGGACACGCTGGTAGGCAGCCCAGGGACGCGCGTCACGCTAAATGGGGATTTGGAGGATAGTTTCCTGGGTTCGCCCACAGCCCCTTAAGCCATTTCCGTAAAACTTCAGTGGCCAGTTTCATGTAACGCGTGAAGCCCGTGCCAAACAAGCCACGATGCGATTCAGCGAGATGAGTAAATCCAGTTCACCGCCACGCCATTTGTGAAGATGGAATTGGAAAACAACCCTATATTGTTTTGAACGTCCGGTGATAACATAATCAGCTTGCTTTTCTGGGTAGTGTGAACGCTCCCCCACCCCACCCCTCGCCAGATTTGCTTCTCCAAAGCCCACAGATCTATGCTGTCTGTCTCCATAATCCCCACCCGGCAGGACTGTTAATGCAAAGTTCATTTGCAGAGCTCTGAATTATGAAAGTCTGTCTTAAGCCAGGAACAAATTTAGGACAGGTGTAATTTGAGGAGTGGGAGTTTCCCTATCCCAAACTCTGAATACCAAATCCAGAGTGAATTCCGACAGGGTTGATTCTGTATGAACAAGGATTACCCTCTGCTTCCAATGATAAGCATGTTTACTGGGAGGAAGATAAAATATATAAGTATGGTTCTCTGATGTCATTGTGACGTCTGTGCCAAAATAAATGAGCACAAGGGTTCAGCTAGATAATGAAATCCTAAAGCTGATCATTCAGAAATAACTTGTCCTTCGTTTATTGAGGTTATTCTCAAGAAAATATTTTTAGGAATGTTAGTTTTGGTAAATTACAGCAGAAATCTTGATATAACCTTTTTTTTATTTTGAAGAAATGGCAAAGAATGTGAATTAAAGCAGACAATTACCTTGTAAAACCTGTACCCATATTGTTCAGATCTTCCTGCCTTGTCTGCTCTGATTCCTTGAGTATTGCATAAAAACAAAAGTTCCCTGTTTATTAAAAGGATGTTTTTGTTTCAGTGGTTCATACTAAAATTTTGTGCAGAACAGTTAAACAAAACCAAGTTCTATTGCTTGTAGGAATATTGTGCAACCCCTTTATAGCATTGGATGAACTCTGGCACCTACTCTTAGCTAATCATTTACAGGGTATCAGCGGTGGTGATTTTTTTCCAACTCAGGTTTTTTCTAAATTTAATCCATTGTCATTTGGGAAGTGCAAGTCTAAGCAAAGTAGTTTAAAACATCTTAATAATAAAAGTCCTGTTTTTTTTAAAGCAGATAGTTCAGATAACCTCCAAAAATCCATTAATCAGAAAATACATTTTATTTTAAAAATTTAGATTGTGAACCATGTCAAAGAGGATACCTGTGGCAGACAAGGACAACCCATTATCTTCAAAGACAAATAAAGTTAATCCAATGCAGGTATTAGTAATAGCACTTTTATATTAATATTGATAGTTTAGGAATTAATAAGGAAATAAGACATATATCTTTCTTCTACATAGGATGGAATGGTAAAATCCAGAATGGTATTGTCATGTTTCCTTTCTTCATGATACAATTATGACGTGAAATTAGAGAAATGAAATGATCTTGCATCTAGATGTGCAATTTCTGTTAAGCCAAATAAGCAAAACTTCTAGTTAAGAAGACTAAACATTATTTTGGGGGATCCATGTGATTCAAGTAGAAGACAGTTCACGTACAACTTATTGTTTAAAGAGCACCTATCCTTTAGGTACAACACATTACATTATTTTTTTCATGTCAGTAATAGTGCTTATCTCAATGTTCAAGAGCTCAACATTTGTTTTTCTTTGGGAGAAGAATGCTTATGACTTTTTGCATATGTGAGTTTATTTACCAATAATCACATTGCGATGCGGGACAGTTTAATGCTTCAGCAGACAACCAAATCCTTCCTTCCTTTATTTTTGAGATTTATCCCTGCCAATCTGGGGGGACTTTAGGCACCTTAGAGTTATATTTTTTAAAGGTACAAAAGTAATAAATTAATAATAATAAATAATACATTACAATGGCAACCGGAATAAATTACAGGTTCTTTAATACCTGTTCTTTAAATTGACTAAGGTAGGTACCAGTGGCTCTGTAACTAATTCCCAAAGGCCCTCAAAAGGCCAGGTTTTTGCCAGCTTCCAGAAGACTATAATAGTGGGACCCATCCTTGCCTCAGAGCTAGCTATTCCATAGAAAGGAAACTCCCATGGAGAACACCTGCATGGGGCTTCCTTCTGCTGCACCTCCTGGTAAGTGCTATCTGTTTCTGCCCACTTGACCCTAATAAGTTCTATCTTACTATCAGGGTTGGGAGGGCAGAAACTACAGTATCTGGGAAAGGCAGTCCCTTAGCTATCCAGGGCCCAAGCCATATAGAGCTTTAAAGGTAGCGACCAACACTTTGAACTGCATTTGGAAACATACTGATAGCCAGCGCAGCTCTCACAGCAGCGGTATAATGAGACAATATTGTGACTGCCCAGTAAGCCAGTGGTTTGCTGCATTTTGGACCAGCTGTAGTTTCTAGGTGGTCTTCAAAGGCAGCCCCATGTAGCGTAAATTACAGTAAATTAAACCAGAGATGACAAAGGCATGAGTGACTGTCTTCAGAGCATCCTGTTCCAGCCCTTCCTGGCCATGGCTTCCACCTGCTTCTCAAGCAAGAGCCAAGAGTCAAAGAGGACTTCAAAGTTGCAAGCCTGCTTTTTCTCTCTGGGGAAGTACATCCTCCTTTAGAGGCAGAGTTAGTACAATCCTGGAATCAGTAGGCTTCTAAATTAACAGCCATTGCATCTTGCTTGGGTTGAAACTAAGCCTGTTTTCCCCATCAGAATTCTTATTGCATTCCCCATTGGTCCTGGGATGAAAATGTTCAGCTGACTATTATCATCATATTGATGATACCTTATCCTAAACTAACAAATGAGTTCTCCAACAGCATCATGCTGATGTTAAAGATACATTATTTGTTTTTGCTGTCTGCCATCCAGAGTCACATTGTTTGAGTTGGTGGCCCTATAACTCCATTAAATAAATATATAAAGCCCAACCTGCCAGCAATGACTCTGTAGAAGATGTACTGGCCACTTTGCAACAAACAACTGAAAATGTTATAGCAGTTTTTCTATGGAATGTAACTCTGTTGAGAGTGTTTCTTCATTTTGTCAGGAAGCTGGTGATTTGGATTCTGGTGAAGAGCAAGGAGAGAGATCTCTGGCTGAGGAAAAGATTCAAGGGGAACCGAGGCACTTGTGTGCTTGTCCTCCTCAAGGTATCATTGCCAAAGTAATAACAAATGGTACGTAAAACACAAAGGCAAAAATGGTTCAAAGAGCCCCTCATTAGTTTCCATTAGTTGCATTAATTTTAGAGGGTTTTTTTACTTGCCCCAAAAGTTCGTAAAAAATAGATGTTATACTTTAAAGAATGTTCATCTTATTTTCCATCATGAAACATGATTTCTATTTTTTGTTTTTACAAAAGAAAATGAATCAAATAATTCAAAAATAATTTGGATTATTTGGCTGTAACGCTGCTTAATCCTGTAATGCTTGAGATTTTATGTAGGCCAATGAAGGAATAATTGCTTGTTTAAAATTCCCTTTCGTCTGATGGAACCTTCTGAAAAATTACACTGGAAAAATGTAAGAGTACCCTAGAGAAATCCCAAGTTCATTCCAGAAGAAACAGGAGATGGAGGAGAATGGGGGAGGCAGGATTTGTCAGGACTGAAGCAGTGGAGAAAAAAATGAAATCACATTTCTCACTGGTTCAAAATTCTGTCTGGTTTTGGCTTTGCATGAACCAAGCCATTGCAAGCTGAAAACCATGGTTTACGGCTTAACATGTACACATCATAGCATAATAACAGAATCACAGCATAATATGATGTGCGAATCTGTATCATGTGAGTCTTCAGACTAGTGTTTTGTAGAAGAAGGTACTTAACATGTTGGAATGGTCAATATAGATTTATGTACCTTACTTATATGTGTTCACTATTAGCAAATAAATAAGAAATCTAATTATCCTAGGGTAGATTTTGCCACTTTGATAGCTTCCTGATGCATCATGATTACAACTCCTAGAAATTCTACAAAATATAGCCTCAACTTCTCTGAAGAGCAAAATGTTCAGGAAGCTTGTTCTACATTAACAATAGTTTCTAAGGCTGGATTCCCACACCACAGTAAGCCAAAACACATAGTTAATATTTACAGTGGCAGAATTCCCACATCATGGAGAGAGGGCACATTAAAAAAACATTGACATCATGACGTAAACTATCCAATTGACTTATGTACTTGCATTCAACTCTGGGATGCAAGCGTAAAAGGACTACGTTTGTGCTGTGAGGTTGTGACTTACATTTTGTCATTTTTTTCATTATCACAATTTGTACTAACACCTAGGGTAAAAACTCTTATAGTCCTGACTGAATTATCTGAGTCTGGGAAAGGTGCACTATTAAACTAAAATGATTATATGATTCAAGGGATTACCTTGCCTCCCAAGAGGTGGATTGATTCCTGCTATAGTTTCCTATCTTGTGAGTCCAGGCAAATGTTCCCTTTCCTTTTGTAATAATTATAAAAAGTAAGTTAGGGATATGCAACATTTTCAGTTTCAGAATAATTATCAAACTTTATGACATTAAAAAACCCTCACAATTAGTCTTTTTAAATGCATGTTGTTGATAAATCAATTTGATATATAAATTTTAAAGATTGAATGGAATAAGGAATTGGAGATCCCCCTTTGGCTAAACAATGGAAAATTGTCTTAATGTCTAGCAAAGATTTCAGTAGATTTTTGACTACATCTTATTCAATAAAAGTATTTCAGACCCACTGAACTTCATTGCACTTGTGCAGAAAAGGAATGAGTAAATAATTTAGTTCAAGATATAATAATTCATACATGTTTTTGCAATCTTCTAAAATTGTAATATTTGGGAAGAAGTCACTATGTACTTTAATCTGACTTTGAGATATATTTTAATATTTTTGGTTTATAGTCATATTCTGAATTAAAAAATTACCTCACAGATATTGGCAGCTGGACAACAGAAATGGATTCCCTGCACTCTTCATATTGCTAAGAGATTATTATTCAAGATTGGAAATATAAATTTATGGTCTCCATTACTCAGAGGAATAAAGATCTGATATTACTTGTGACTCCTTCACACATTGCTTATAATAATATAATAAAATACGGTAATCCTTAGAAACTCTTTTGTAAAGCACTATCTTTACATATATATATATATGCATGAGATGCCCTTACATACTTTTCTTTTTCTTTTTTTATCTTCCTTCCCCCCCCTCCCGTTTGTTCTATTCAAATAAATTCTCCCTCCCCATAAACAACCCGCCCTCCAAACAGCATTTGGAGAACATTGTAAGTGAAGTAAAGGCAGAATGATGTGTAACAACATTACAAATGGTATAAAAATATGAATAGTACAATAACAAATTTTGTTTCCAGTATCCTACAAATTATCTTTCTCTTTCTGAATACTGATGTGGTTCATACTTAACATTTCTTTCCTCTTCCACCACCTCTCATTCTTTTCCTAGTGGCAATAGCAGTGCTGGTCTGGGGCCTGACTTGGACTCTTACAGGCAAAGAGAGTCTGCCTGGTGGAAGCATCTTTGGAATTGTATTCCTCTATTTTTCTTCGGTACTTGGTGGCAAAATTATGCAACTAATTAAAATACCAGGACTGCCTCCTCTCCCTCGCCTTCTTGGTAAGCATCATATTATCAAACAGCATGCCAACTTCATTATCATTAGGTAGGCCTGGTTTGTTAATGCTTGATACTAATATTTTGAATTATTAAACATTACTTTAAAATACTAAAGCAGTATTAAGCATTGTTATAAAAGTTTCCCTTGTGGATTACTCATGTACTCATCCTGTCAGAAGACCATCTATGAGGAGCAGTGGGGGAAATTGCTCTGGACTCCACCGCTTGAAAGGTACTATCCAAAGTATGGTTCAGTATTTTTCATTGAAGGGAGGGAAAGTAATGTGTTGAAGGACAGCTCAAGAAACAGATGGGGTTTCCTCGTGCATTTCATTGACTTCAACAGACAACAGTAAGAAAAAGGTCACATTGACAAAGGATAGAATGGGAAAAAGGGGTGGGACTCTAATGAACATTTTGTCTATAGTCTTAATAAAGCCATGCCTATGGCTATTTTGAAACATTCAAACAAAAACATTCTTTCTTAATATTTTTATTCATCACACCTTTATTTTTTATTTTTATTCATTTCTACTCATTTTTTTCATGATTGTATATGCCACATGTTTTAATTTTAACTATTTCTCATTTATTTTAACTTAACCAAGTGTAGATGTTTTGCATGTCTTCCCTATGGCTAAAATTATAGGCTGGCTGATTGTTCATTTCTTCCTTTTGACTAAAGCACAAAAAAAGAGAGGCGGGGTGGGGTGGATAAAACATTGTGTCTTCTCTGTTGGTGAAAGAAAAGACACCAGACTCAGGAGTAGGCTTTTCAGCTGCTTGCCTCACTAAAATTTCTAGAAGAACTAACTCCAGTGAATCTGCAAGAATGATACCATATGCAGCCACCCCAGGATAACTGAGTTACAGAAAAGAACATAGGCATGCTTAATCACTCAAATTTCCCAGTAGCCAAATACACTACAGAAAAAACCTTAAATATAACTGGGAATGGTTGATAAAGTTAACATGAAACCATTTTGACTGAATCTGTTGCGAAGCATATGACTGGCTCGTGCTCCGTAACAATTTTAACATTATTAAAGTTCCTGACATTAACTTATTTGCTAGTGAATAATGCAGGACTGTTAGGTTTCAGCAAGATGATACTGCATGCTAATTATAACCTTATGTGTATTACTGTCACGCTTTCTTTGGTATAGCCAAGATGGTAGCACATTTAAATTCAGCTGAATGCATGTGCTTCTAAAGTATCCTTAATTGCAATTAATGACATTTAAAGTGTTGAATTTAAACTGAACAGGTTCCTTTAATTTTAGATATTAAAGTCACAAGTTTCATAGAATAACATGCTTTGTTTTATTTCCAGTACGATGGATTTTTGAGAATGCATATGTGTATATACAAGTTTGCTTTCTACTAGCTGCAATGGGAAGAAGCAATTCTGGTGGATTTTTTTTTTTTTTGTCTGTTTGCTTTTTTCATCTCATTTAATGCTTATTAAATAAATCTGAGCTCTGTGAATCAGGGGAATTTTAATTAATCCTGTCCGTATTATATAGAATAGTAGGGGGGAAAAGACAGCTTTTGTTAGTTTTTCTATCTATATGTCAGGGAGCATAGTAATAAAAAAAAATCCTTTTTCCCATTGAAAATGAGCATCTCACCTAATAGCAACAGTATTTTTTTCTTTGAAGATTAGCAGTTATATGGTAAAAACAGCATAATTTTCCTTCCCTCACATACCGCTGGCATCTATGTCTAATAACCAAGCAGTGGGATCTCCAGGAGCATCTGTCAAACTGTTTAACAGTGTTGAGCCATTGCAACACAAGTGCTAGCCCCTTTGTATCTGCATCATGACCTTGCACACATTTCCAAAAGAGTCAGTACTGTTTTAGTCATACTGATGAAAGCAAGCTGGCCTGTGGAGTCACCATCTTAGGCCCTCAAGGCCAGAGCTGCAGACACCCATGCATCCAAGGGATTTAAATTAGGGATATGGGTTTGCGAAGGAAGAATTTGTCCTGTCTCCTATTGCCATGGCATCCATCCGAATCTTATCCCTAAAAAGATGTTGAGAGTCATGGATAGATTCTGTCTTCTGCAATTCGTTCTTGGGTGTAATGAGTACATAGTTCCAAACAAGCTGGACTGTGGAGTCGCCATCTTAGGCCCTCAAGGCCAGTTGCTGTGACCATCTGTAGAGGGAGGGGGACCTTAATAACATCAGGCTTTTCTAATGTATTTGCCTGAGGGGGAGGGGGATGTAATTAGCTCAGCTGCTGCCTACTAGGCCAAGTATCACTAAGATGAGTTTTGCTTGATTATTGTTTCACACCAGCATGTGAGAGGGTGCAACATCAGTTTTAGAATGGGGTCTCCCAAAGGCTAAGAAAAAGGGCTCCGGCTTTATCTTTGAATCTGAACATTGATTCGTTTTATTGATTTGCTGCATTTATTTTTCCTGCAATGACATGCTTTATTCATTAATTCTCCATCTCTCTCCCTCTCTCTGTTAAACTTTTGTAAAAGATGTTTATTTGTGTAAGGAAGGAACGTAAGGCATCACTGTCAGATTTTATGCAGGGTCTTTCAAATGTTCTAAAAGAGTTAATCAGGTGGTTGTCACTATTCCATTTAGGTATGTTGCTTGCTGGATTTCTCATCAGAAATATTGAATACATCAGTAAGGTGATCTTAATCAAAGTGGAGTGGGGATCTATACTCAGAAATATTGCCCTCTCGATTATTTTGTCTCTTGCTGGTCTTGGCCTTGACGCAAAGGTGGAGTATCAAAGGCTTCTTAAGAAATTCAAAATCCTCTATTACAGAAGCAAAACACCATGAGAACCTGTAATGTGTAGTGTATGACTCCATTTTTTACTTTCAGTTATAAAGGGCACCAGTGTGGGGAGAAGTGATTCTTACTGGGAAGAGAATATGAAGGAAGAGGAGGCTTAGTACTTCCTAGTGTGATTAGCATTAATTTTCCAGCTAATCTTCCTTGGTTCTCAGGGTAACCCAGGGGGAATTTCTCTCCTACCTGCTATTCCTGTGGAGGTGTGGGGAAAGATAAGTTCCCATCATGCTTATAAATACTTAAAATTGAAATTGAAAAATAGCTAGACCAGGGAAATGTGTATATGTGTGTTTGCATGTTATTTACATACCTAAACATACACATTTAGAAACAGTCATTAGGGTGTATTGAAGTGTACCATCAACTAATTAATTTCCCATCCCAACCACCTCAAATTTTTAAAAAGAAGAAAATGCTTCCACTAACAGTAGTGTGCTATTTCCCTATTTTTAACTGACTTGCCTGGAAGCCTTTGAAAGGGCCTTGCAAAACATGGAGAATGGACAGAATGCCTCCCTGCTTGAAATAATGCTGAAAATAGTCCCTGCCCATTATGGGGAGGATTTTTATTGTTACCAGCGAACACCCAAGACAAAGACAAAGGCTCCCTCAGAGTCAAGCCCAACTGGGTGGCTTCCACAAAAATGAGGGGTTTTGGCCACATTACAGCAATAGTTTGCTGTTGCATCTTCCAGAAGATACCTAAGGCTCGAGGCAGTGTTTGGACTTGGGCTTGAAATGCACTTAAGCTCCATGCTATGTTGATGAATGACATGAGCATTTCTACCCTGCAGTGTCCTTTTTAATGTTTCCACCAGTCTTAATTAAGAATGAAAATAGGCACATACCATTTGTTGGAATAATAATACACTTATCACATTTGGTCCATTTTATGTGTGAGGAAAAAATGTACTTTTTAAATCTTGTGACAAATTGGAAAAACTCATCCATCATGTCTCTTGTATGACCAGCTGAGGAAAAGATAACAATGGCAACTATCTATTTATTAATATCAGTGCCAAAAGATCTTCATCTTGAATCCCTGAAGTCATTTTGCTCCTGTTGGTTTGTGAGGCTATTAAGATGAATGATGAACATATATAAAATAATAATTTAAATTATTATAATTTGGAAAGCTGTTAATTTGGAAACATTTATTCTATCTCTGGAATTCAGCAGAGGAGAAGCAGACAGCTGTATTTCTATATTAGGTGGGAGGACCAGTTTTTCTGAAACACTTTTTTATAATGAGCAAGAGGAGAATTAGCATGCTTCACTCACTTGCCTGTATGCAAATGTCATATCAATTTATTCATTTATATATAGGCCTTATAAGCTACTCCAGTCAAACAAATATTTAAATATAAAGCTGCTTATGCAATTTGCTGCTAGAATTAATGTTTATGATGCAATTAAGAAATTGTAAGGAAAATATCTATCTGTCCACCCAAAATGATGAAGCCCATTTTTTTACCTCAAAACTCAACAAGCATTTATTTATTTATTTATTTATTTATTTATTTATTTTTCAAATTTGTCACCGCCCATCTCACTGCGGAGTGACTCTGTGCGGTTTTATGGCCATGTTGGTTTCTAAATCATGGTTTGTGGCTTAGTGCAAGGGGGTTATTTGAGAAATTGTGGATTTAACCCAGAAAACATGGTTTATTGCAAGTGTGAACTCAGCCTATATATTAGCAAATCTCAGAATATTTTTTCCTGGTACTAAAGATATATAATATTAATTGTACAATATTTTTGTTTTTCAGGCTCTGACTAAGTTAAAAGGGGTCTGTTTCAGACTAACCTTCGGACCCTGCATCACTGAAGCTTGTTCAGCAGCAGTCATATCTCACTTTCTAATGCACTTCCCATGGGAATGGGGGTTTATGTTAGGGTAAGAGGTAACCCTGCTTCTTTTTGTGCCGGGTATTTCTTTTCCTTTTTACTATATGTACCTCTTCTTATCTTCCATTCATAAATACCGTTGGTGTAAACCAGAGCCCTGGACTTGCACAGCTTCCTTGTTAACACCCAAAGCCACTTTAGTGTTGGGAAGAAACAGGCAAAGAATGCCCACTTGCTTGTACTGATTCATCTGGAAATGTTGGTTTTTCTACAATCTTACGCCCCATTTTCCTCAGTCTCCCCCCCCCCCCCCCCCTTGATCTGCCTGATCCCCCCCCCTCCCCCCCCCCCCCCAT